AATTTAACTAAATTAATACAAAATCTAAAATAATGGGTCAAAATCAAGCTAATTGAAATTACATTGACCAAAATGATACAAGGGCAAAATGTAGAGATTATAAATGTAATTTACACTAAAATTTTAAATGTAGTTGTTTTGCTTTTGTGTCATTGGGATAAATTTTTTTTATAAGTTGGCAAATATTTTTAATTTTGAAAGACTGATAACTATCCTAAAGCTAAAATAAAGTTAAGAAAGTAAATTAATCACATTCTCCTTATTTTAATTTTTACAAATAACTTCGATTCTTAAAACACTAAAAAAGAAAAAGAAGTAAAAAGAAAAAATAAAAAATAAAAAAAGCCAACAAAGAAATAAGAAACAAGAAAAAAGGGAAGAAATGAAGTTGAATAAGAAATTTTGAAATAAATATGAAATAAATGAAGAAGGAACCAAAAATAAAGATCAGGTTGATGAGAGAACTGAAATAAATAAATAAAAAAATTTGGGGACTGAGTTCAAGAATAAGGCCTCGTTTGGAAACATATTATTTTAGTAACTTTTTGGTTAAAATACGAGATAAAAACTAATATGTTTGGAATGACTTTTTTATTTTTTACGAAAAGATGTGCAAAAAATAGAAAAAAAAAAAGAAGAGAATCTTTGATTTTTTGGTATAGGTTATAGGCTTTTTATTTATTTAGTAACTTTTTGACTCTTAAACTAAAATCGTCACATGTCAAACGAGGCCTTACGCATAGAGTTGAGTGTGAAGATAATATTACAAGTTGAAAATGAGGACTGATTTAAAGATTCAACCAACCTTTTGTTTTTCAAATGTTCACTCTAAATTATTTTTTTAAATAGATAATTATAGATTTTTGGCTAGATATATGAGAATATTTTAGAGAGGCGAGTACTAAATTTTTAAAAAAAAATCTTGAGGTGGCGAACTTATATAATTTAGATATATTCTTAACTATTACTACTATATTACAGTAGCTTTTTCAAAACTTTAGGGTGGCCGTTGCCTTACCTTGCCCCCTGGGTCCATTCCTACAAATGAAACACTACAAAAAATAAAATAAAAATGAAAATTTTGATTTTTCGAGTGTGAAGACATGTTCTTTTGCTTTACCAAATGAAACTTTCTGCCAAAAAAAATAATAAATAAATGAAATAGATAAAATGCAAAGAATTCTTGACCAATAATGCTTAAGCCATGTCTGAATGATTCTCGCATAACTTCGATTCACCAAATGAATATGAAGCTAGTCTTTCTCAAGAAAAGGGAATTACTACTATTTCTCGAGACATCAATTGTCATATAGTGAAATTGTACAACTTATTGCAAATTCAGGATGCCATTTCTTACAACAAGTTTTCTGAATTCATCCACAAACCATTCTCATGGCATGGGAATTCAGCGAGCCTGGGACATTCTATATTCTCCAAGTAAATCAAATTGGGAAAAAATATCCTAAAATCTCTCCAACACATGTCAAATTCATTCAAGTACTTCAATCTCAATATCTCAACTGTGGTAGAAACTATTGGACGTACAGAACAAAATAGCCCTCCTCTGATGTAGAGTTTTTTTAGGTTCTTCAAATTGGCAAACAATAGCCAACTAACTGTAAACGTCTTAGGGGTACAGTCAAGTTCCAGTTTTTGCAGCGAGGAAGGAAGTTTCATGACAGGTTTCGGAGAAGAAAGTTTGAATGCCAATGATCTTGTCAGCCTGGCTTGTGGTTTTGATCGTGGTGTGTCATCAGCTTTGTTGAATACCAATGATCTTGTCAGCTTGGAGTATGGTTTTGATTGTGGTGTGTCATCTGTTTCACCTTGTAAATTGTATCCTCGCCAGGATATTTTCAACTTTTGTAGGGCTTTTAATTTTTCTAGTTGTAGTAGAGAATTCTTACTTGTTGAGAATTCTGTAGCAGTATTCATGCATACGCTCAATTTTCTCAGCTTTGTCAATTTTGTCAATTCATCAATAGTACATGACTTTTTGTCTGTGGAATCTCCAACGATGAACCCCTTAAGGACTTGGAGTTGTGATAGTGAACCAATATCCTCGGGCATGTGTTCTAAAAGGTAACATTCAGACATGTCCAAGTGTGTCAAATTTTTTAGCAAGCCAATCCCATCTGGAACCACCTCAAGGTTGTGACAGGCTTTGAGATCCAAGATCTTGAGACTAGTAAGCCGTGAAATGAACTGAGGAAGCTCTGCAATCAACGAAATTCCTCGAAGGCTAAGAAATCTCAACTGATTCGTATTCTTCAGTCCATGGAGTATTTTTGCGTCTGCAACTTCAATGTGATGCGTGACTGATCTCTGCCACCTTCCCAAGTAAAGAATTTTGAAATGATTCATCTTCGAAAATAGTTTAGGCCCGCCATCAATAATAGCTGCACCAACATTGAGCAAGCATTTGTACTCATTATATTGAGCAAAAGTCGGAGTATCTGAACCCAGAGTATAAACTGGACTAAACCCAAACCTCTCGGCCATAATGGTTAAAGCAGAATGAATGAAAGGCAGCATTCTGTAGCTATTCGTAACCAAGCTGCAATTTTTGTAGATAGGTTTGATGAAGTCCTTTGCAATAAGCTCACCCAATATCTCGTTGCCAAAATCCTCTTCCGTCTTCCCCAACGCAATTTCAGCTTTTGTTTTTTGGTCCTCTGGGTTTGGGGTTAAAAATCCCTCTCCAATCCACCAGTAAATAATAAACTTCTTCTTTATACTAACCATTTCTGGAAATATCAAGAAACACAACAAACAATTCCTTAATGTGGATGGGAGGCCAAGGAAAGCTACCTCGAATTGTCGAATTGCGGCGTTGTACTCAAACTTTGGGTCCTTGTGCAATCTGCACAATATGTTTTCGTCACCAGACTTGTTTATATTGTCTTGGTTGCTGTCGTGGTTAATGGATCCGTCAAGCCATGGATTTTGACGTGGCTGGGAATCAGCAGGATTGACTTTAATAAGCTTCGAGGGGATCTGGGATTTCAACTTCTTGACGTTATTTTTCAATTCGCCAAGCTCTCTCTCAGTCTCATTCCCTCCTCTTGTTTCGAGCTCCTCAAATCTCTCACAGACCTGGTTGATTTGCACATTCATATGATCAGTCTTCTTCTGAACCTCTGCCATGGCCTCTTTCATCATGATAAGGTCTTGGCGAATCATCTTAGAAAGCGCAGGAGCTCCAACGTGGTGATTGTTGGTGGTGGCGGTGCCGGCGGTTTTGTGGTCGTTGTCAAGTGGCCTTGGTTTGGAGGTACTGCCCATGGCCTTGATATCGGAACTGCCAAATTTGGTGTTGCCTTTGGAATGACTAGAGTTATTGAAGGATGGTTTTTGAAGAAAACTACAAATAATATTTGATTTAAGAAAATCAAGCAGAAGGATTAATGGACACTGGGGTACAGAGAATGTGAGAGCTGCAAAGAAAAGCTTATTTTTTCAAACACATGAAACACACAGCCTTGTTTGGTTTGCTTTGGGAAAAAGATTTTAGAGAAAATTTTTGAAAATTTTGTTTGGTTTCTAATTTTTCTCAAAAAATTTCCAAAATCACTTTTTCTCCTACACATTAATCATTCACTTTTTCTTTCTCCTCTCTCATTTTCAATCATTTTTTCTCTCACATATATCTACTCAATCAGAACAAAATATCAAATCATTTCAAACTCTCAAACTCTAGAACTATTTTCAAAATATATAACGAAACAAACTACAAAAATATTCAAACTCTTTTCTCAAAATATTTTTTAAAAACTTATCTTGTTAAAATTTACCATCACCTACCACCCATTTACCATCACCTACCACCACCTACTCCTCACCTACTCCTCACCTACTACACTCACCCTCTCCTATATAATGAGCCACTCACCATTTGTAATATACACAACAACATATATCAATCAATAATACAATTCTCTATTTCTTTTTATACATTGAATTCTAACATGGTATCAGAGCAAGGTTAACAACTTAGTAATTCCGCTTCACCGGCGGACGGCAACCTCACCTTGGCCGTCCGCCGGACAAACCCAAATTTTCTTAATCTCTCTCTCTCTCTCTATCTATCTAAGCCATGGCTCTGCAACTCTGGGAGACCCTTGAAGGTGCGATCACCGTCTACACGGGTCTCACTCCAGCAACTTTCGTCACAGGTCTCGCTTTGGGTCTCGCTATCTACTATGTTCTCTCCAGTCTGTTTGGTTCCTCTGGTAATAATCAACGTAAGAGTTCTAGGGAGTTGCAGGAGGAGATGCAGCCTCTTCCCCCTCCTGTTCAGCTTGGTGAGGTCACTGAAGAGGAATTGAAGGTCTACGATGGTTCTGATCCTAAAAGGCCTCTTCTCATGGCGATCAAGGGTCAGATCTATGATGTCACACAGAGCAGGATGTTTTATGGACCCGGTGGCCCATATGCTCTATTTGCTGGAAAAGATGCTAGCAGAGCTCTAGCAAAGATGTCCTTTGAGGAGCAAGATCTAACTGGAGATATCTCTGGTCTTGGTCCATTCGAACTCGACGCGTCGCAAGATTGGGAATACAAGTTCATGACCAAGTATGCGAAAGTTGGGTCTGTTAAAAAGACAGTACCAGTGACTGATGGGTCATCGAGTGGGGAAGCTGTCGAGACAACTGACCGCGATGTTGATGATCAGCCTACAGACAATGGTCCATCTGAAAATGCAGCTACTGGAATCACAGAAACCGAGTCTGCTGTTGATGCCAACAAAGAAGACTGAGGAATGTTGTTATCCCTACCGTATGAAGTGAAAGTAATGTCTGGGTTGCCTCTTTTTTGGTGGGTCATTGCTTGCCATGTTGATCATAGCTATTTCTTTAATCAAACCCATACCCACTTTTTGATCAGGCTACTCTAAAATATTATCCCAAAACATCCACCACCCACGTTCTTTCACACTTTTCTTTTAATATATATATATATATTACAATAATGAACCCACTCATTTCTTTATTTATTTATTTTTTTTTAATTCAAGGCAACAATTTGCAAAATTGAAACTATAGAGTGATTGATGTTAAAGTTACAATGCCCTAACCACTACAGATTTATATCAATAAACTCTGAAATCAAGCAATGTTTCCTTATCTTACAGTGCAGGGCATCTAAATCATCATGTCTAAGAAACAAAATTACATTACATCTCTGAACTCCAAGTAGGAAACAGTGGAGGATTTGGTGGAAGGCTCTCTTACTTTTCTACTACGACTTCCTCATTTTAGACCTTGCATACTCTATGTGCATCCCTCCCCAATCTAACGATGGTATCGAGCTTCCTTGAAGAGCACCCATGGCAATGGTAGCTTGTTCAACATCCTCAAAATCAGCAAATGCAACTGGCATTCCACCTCTAGCACGCACCTTGAGCACCTTAAAACCAGTATATTGAGATAGAAATTGCTTCAGCTCATCTTCAGTGCAATTTGGACCTAGATTTGCAATGAACAAAGTGGAACATGGTGAGACACCATCAACTGTCTTTTCTGTCTGCTCATTTTCAGCAGCTACAGTATTTTCAGCACCACCAACTGTCTCACCACTTTTCGCAACTGCTAATTCACTCTTATCGCCAGAGTCAGATTGGTTGGCCCCAGAAGGTTCATCAGATTCACTAGCACCTGAATCATCATCACTCGATGTTTCTTGGGCATCAGCCGTAGTTTTAGTTCTTTTGTCAATGACAACATAGGCTCCACTTCCTGGTTTACGTTTCCTCCTTGAGTTTGATCTGGCCATTTCAATATGGAGAACAGATCCAGTCTGCGGGTCAAATTTTACACCATTCAAGGAATGCAGAGCTGCCATTGCTGATTGATGATTAACAAAGGTGGCAAAAGCAACAACCTGGCTGCCGCGACCAGTGTACTTGAGCTGGCAAGAATCGAAGCCGGAACGGCGGCGAAAGAGGTTGTGGATCTCACGGGCTTTGACATCGTCGGGGAGGCCCGAAACGAAGAGGGTGTTGATGCCGTTGCGATCGTTGTTGAACCCGTACTCCGGTGCTTGGTGGAGGTAGTATGGATCGTACGGCTGATGGTGAGCCATCGCTCCTCGCTCGCCGGTGGATGCGACTTCGCTGATGGACGGCTGTGATTGAGAGATAGCGAGTGAGACACTCCTGTCCTGTCCTGTCCGTGAGGGCCGAGGGGGGAATGGTTCGGCTCCTTTGGGCCTTTCTCGGATCTGAGTTCGCCGGTGGAGTCTGTGATGAGCTCCACCGAGACAGAGAGTGATGAGGACGATGACATAGCTGGGTTGACTCGGAAAATGGCTCACTCGACGCTCCTCGACGATTTCTGGAAACCCGACTCTGGTTTTGGGTACGAGTTTTACAGCCAAAAAAAAAAAAAAAAAAAAAAAAAAAAAAAAAAAACACAACAACAACAAACCACCACACAACACCAAATGCTTTGTTTTTTCTGCAGTTCTTCGCCTATTCCGCCGGTCTTTTCTTCTTGCCTCCGTCCTGGGCGGCTCTTGCCAGTGTTGCCTCCGTGTTTCCTACTCCACCGAGCACGTTCACTCCTCCATACTCCTCCACTGCAGCATATGGAGGACCTCCAAATCGGAACATCACGGTGGCCTTCCGCTTCAGCTCCTTGTTTTCCGCCTTTAGCCATATGGTGGACCTCCAAAACGGAACATCACGGTGGCCTTCCGCTTCAACTCCTTGTTTTCTGCCTTTAGTACACTTATCTCTGCTCGCGCATCCGTATACATGCGTTGGAGCAGAGCCAACTGGGAGTTTAATTGTTGCACCTCATTTGTCCTGCTCTGCAGCCGGTGCGACAAGTTTGTGACCGCAGTCATGGTTTCCACACATGACTTCAGAGTATACTGATTGGCCTCAATATCAGTTTGCACCGCCATTTTTTGCTCCACCGACCGCATCGAAAAGTTCAACGGAGCAAATCCAGAGGTGTTTGGTTGAGGTTCACTGGCCATTTTCAATTCGCCAAGCTCTCTCTCAGTCTCATTCCCTCTTTTTTTGAGCTCCTCAAATCTCTCACAGACCCGGTTGATTTGCACATTCATATGATCAGTCTTCTTCTGAACCTCTGCCATGGCCTCTTTCATCATGATAAGGTCTTGGCGAATCATCTTAGAAAGCGCAGGAGCTCCAACGTGGTGGTTGTTGGTGGTGGTGGCGCCGGCGGCTTTGTGGTGGTTGTCAAGTGGCCTTGGTTTCGAGGTACTGCCCATGGCCTTGATATCGGAACTGCCAAATTTGGTATTAACCTGTTGCCTTCGGAATGACTAGAGTTATTGACGGATGATTTTTGAAGAAAACTACAAATAATATTTGATTTAAGAAAATCAAGCAGAAGGATTAATGGACACTGGGGTACAGAGAATGTGAGAGCTGCAAAGCAAAGCTTTATTTTTTCAAACACATGAACTCAAGCTTAATTTTTTCAAACACACAGCCTTGTTTGGTTTGCTTTGGAAAAAAGATTTTAGAGAAAATTTTTGAAACTTTTGTTTGGTTTCTAATTTTTCTAAAAAAAATTTCAAAATCACTTTCTCTCCTACACATCAATCAATCAGTTTTTCTCTTTCCTCTCTCATTTTCAATCATTTTTTCTCTCACATATATCTACTCAATCACAACAAAATATCAAATCATTTTAAACTCTCAAATTTCAAAACTATTTTCAAAATATATAACCAAACAAACTATAAAAAATTTTAAACTCTGTTCTCAAAATATTTTTTGAAAACTTATCTCTCAAAATCAAACTAAACAAGGCCTATAAACTCTTCATATACACGTCAGAGAAGTCAGAGAAGATTACATGAACTCTACAAGTCAGAGAAGATTACCGATGTAGTTGTGGATGGGATCTGGGAAGTAAAAACTGCCTCAACGTCGGCTGTCCCGCCGTTTCTCCGTTGCTACCCAAAAATAGATGCCAAAATTAGAGGAGAAACTCTCAAAATTTCTTTTTTGAATATAAAAAATCTAGATCTACACTCTAAAATTACAGATCTATATTCGAAGAGGGTAAATCTACACTTCAAAAATATAAAAGTAATCACAGGAATATCGTCGAAATATTACCGAAAATTATCTAGAGAGAGAAGCTCTGAAGCTCAGTTGTCTCTCGGAGAATGTCAACTTTGATACATGCAACGTATGGAATGAAGAAAAATACACAAAACAAATAAATAAATAAAATAAAATAATATATATATATATATATATATATTGATAAATAGATAAGCAATATTGACTGCTTAACGTACATAGTGCAGCATGATTCATTATTATTGTGGCCACTTACAGCACAGAAAACCCATATTCCACATCAAATGAGGCACACATAGGAGGCCTCAACAAACAATAATATATTTATTATTTTCACTGAGGATAATAGTTTTATTTATTTATTGGTTGATCAAAGCGAAGTTTGGGCCTTCAATTCTCGAGATGTGGAAAATAAACGTCACGCTTAGTACCATCACTTTGCTAGAAAATAATTTAGTGTTTGGGCCTTTAATTCTCATTTTTTGAAATAATTGTGTGTGGGTGATTTTCTGACCACACTACCCGCTTAGTAACCAGATAGAGAGCACCGGCAGAATAGATGGCACCTGGCTGACCTGCAACAGAAAGAGAAGATTTCCGCGGTGGTTCGTCCACTCGGGAGCACTCCGACGATCAAGTCAGTATATCTCTCAAAGATAAATCAAGTGTTAAACTCACAAGCTTGAGTATCAAAAGCATACCTTAAACCTATGGGGTGTCTCTCTTTTATAGCCAACTCAATCCTAGTCCCAATAGAAGCCTAACTCCAATGGACTCAGGATTACTGCTAATCTTGGACTTTCAATAGGATCAGGATAAGCTCTCTAAGAGTTTCATCTTTACCCAAACTGAAGTCTTCTCCCATTCTAGGACTCTTGCCCCTCATCCGCTTATCTCGGATTCCGATATTTTCAGAGGTAACCTCGGCCTATCCGAGATGACCTCGACAAAGCAACCAGGACACATGGCACCTCGGCTGACACGTCGGCGTCACCTTGGCCACGTGTTGGTACTCAAAAAATATATCCCCACAACTGCCCCCTAGGTTCTATTACCTCAGTATCCTGAGGTGATGGTACCTATATCGATATTTCTTTCTGTATATTGGCTCAAAAACTCCTCAACCGAGATCATTCATTTCAGGCCGACATGTTCACTTCGGAGAACAAGAATTCCAGCTTTCCAAGCTACTCGAGATCACACCTCCTAGCCGAGGTTCTTGTTCCATTAATTCGTAAACTCCAAGAGCTTTGTAACTGCTCCACTCATTTTCTTCGGTGGGTTCCCAACTTCCAGTCATCTATTTGACTCCGGCGATCTTCATATCGGCGTTTATTTCTCTTGGTAGGTTCATAAACTCTTTTATTAAGCTCAATCTTTTATAACTCTTTTGAACCCATTTACTTGCCCTCTGTGTTCTTCTATTTTCGTCTGTTTTCAAGTTTTGAATTGTTTGAACGTCTAACACTGTTTTTGCCATATCCGCTTTCTGTTGCTGGCATCGTGTCTGGGTCATTACTTTCTTGTTCTTCACATACTTACTTAGTGTCTGTGCACTTGGCTTTATTTTTGAACTTTATCGTCTTCTTAACTTTGATTTTTCTCTTTTTTCATTCAATCCTCTGTCTTTTTCTCTTTCTAACTCTTTTGCTTAAATCCGTCATTGTTCCAAGCTTTCAAGCTCTGCAACTGTTTTCGTTCCTCTCCTCCGGTGAAGCTTACGTCATTCTGTCATTTTCGCATCCGTCGTCAGACTTCGACAATTCTCATTCTGGCTTCCCTCTTTTTGGTAAGCCACTGTTCCTCCTGGTTTATTTCTTTGTTGCTTTCCAAGAAGCTTTGCTTCATTGTTAATCACCATTGCTGTTTTACCCGTTGTTTCCAAATCATCTTCTTGAATACACACTGTTCACACATCTGTTAATTTCTGCCACTGTTCTTGGCTTGACACACCTGTGCAATTTTTTTGTCTTGATTTCCTAATAGCTTCATTACCATTCTTGATTACGAATTACATTCTTGTTTCTGTTTTCTGTGTCTTTTTCCAGATTCTTGCTTTCAATCCTTGCCTTCAAACTCCGAGGTGCCAATCGCCGAGAAGAGCTTTGATCAAACTCTTCAGGAGATCGATGCTGAGCTCGAGGCCGAGAAGGCTGCTGAGAAGTCTTCTCAACTGTCTTCTATATCCTGCCATTGATGCCGAGTAGTTTTGTTTCCTTCTTTTACTCCTTGTACCTTGTACCTTGTACTTTGTACTTTGTCCTTCTTTGTATGCTTTTAATCTGGCCGACGTGCCATTTTTGTAGACTGAATAATTTATTTTTCAATATTCAGGCCGAAGTGCCTTCTTTATTCTTTAAATGCATTTCTTTAATTTCTTTTTTGAATGAATGTCTTCTTTTTTCTGCTTTTGTATGATTCTACACTTAGAATAATTTGCATGTCTTCAAAGTACACCTTAACTGTGCAATCTCTTCGGGTAAAATACCTCTGTCACAACTTCTAATCTTGTTCATCTCGGCCTTGTCCTAATACTTAAAAATATTGTAACAAATATTTTCACAAGTGTTGCTTAGGACTTGTCACTTTCTCAATGTCTTCTATCAAGACTTCAGTTTTCCATATTTCAAGTTTTGACAACCTGGTAATCTTGGCAAGTACGTGGATATTGCTTGAGCTTGACTTTAACTTGTAAATTTTTCTCAAAAATTTCAACAAGTGTTTTAACCATCATCCTTTATCATAACATCGGCTTAATTTCAGCTTATAATTTTTTCTCAAAATTTCAACAAGTGTTAAACCATCTTCCTTTTGATAGGACCACGGTTTAACTATAACTTGTAAATTCACACAGAATTTCAACAAGTGTTTAAACCAATCTTCTTCCGATACGACCTCGGTTTAACTTCAACTTGTAAATTCACACAGAATTTCAACAAGTGTTAAATATGATCTCGGTTTAACTTCAACTTGTAAATTCACACAGAATTTCAACAAGTGTTAAACATCATCTCAGTTTAACTTCAACTTGTAAATTTTTCTCAAGTTTCAATCATTGTTTAAATAAATGATCTCGGTTTAACTTCAACTTGTAAATTGTCCACAAATTTCAACAAGTGTTAAACAATGACCTCAGTTTAACTTCAATTTGTAAATTGTCCACAAATTTCAACAAGTGTTAAATAATGATTTTGGTTTAACTTCAACTTGTAAATTGTCCACAAATTTCAACAAGTGTTAAACAATGATTTCGGTTTAACTTCAACTTGTAAATTGTCCACAAATTTCAACAAGTGTTAAACATTGATTTCGTTTTAATTTCAACTTGTAAATTGTCCACAAATTTCAACAAGTGTTAAACAGTGATTTCAGTTTAACTTCAACTTGTAAATTCACACAGAATTTCAACAAGTGTTAAACATCATATCGGTTTATCCAACTTGTAAATTGCTACAAATTTAAACAAGTGGTAAACATCATATCGGTTTAACCAACTTGTAAATTACTACAAATTTCAACAAGTGGTAAACATCATATCGGTTTAACCAACTTGTAAATTGCTGCAAATTTCAACAAATGGTAAACATATTCTTCTTCTCTCTGCCCCATCCATGGCTTCCACATACTTCTTTGCGAACCTTATAAAAGGTCTTCAACCTGGCTAACTGCAGTCCAACCTTGTGTGTGTGTGTGTGTGTGTGTGTGTTTTTTTTTTTTTTTTTATCTTCTGGGATCTGAGATCTACTCACTAAGCTCTTCTCTTCTCGGACTTAAGTGCCGAGATTTTGTCTGCTAGAATCTTGGATCTGCTCACTCAGGTTGAGCTCTTCTCTTTTCGGACCTACTCATCTAGGCCGAGATCATGTCTTCTAGGATTCGGGATCCAGGATCTGGAATCCAAGATCTGCTCACTTAGGATGAGTTCTTCTATACTTGAATGTTATCTCCTTGGGAGCGCTCATGCCCCTTGTCTTTGCATCCCTTCTGGAAGGGTTTTCGTTCCTCTGCAGGTATCTATCCTTCCATACCTGGAGGTTATCTTCGTTTGTAGTATCTGCTTCGATCTGTTGTCTTTGGTGCGTCACCTTTCTGGCTGGCGTCTTTTCACTCCGTGACTTTGGTCACGAGTTTCTGTGTTGCGGTCGTCCCCTTCAATGTCGAGGTTGATAGGTCTCCCACTCACAGCAGGAGCGTTGTCTCCAATCTGATCCTTCTGTCCGTCATTGGCCATCTATTTTTCTTTCTTTCATTGGCCATCTATTCTTCTTTCTTTCATTGGCCATCTATTCTTCTTTCTTTCCCACAGACGGCGCCAAATTGTATGGGTGATTTTCTGACCACACTACCCGCTTAGTAACCAGCTGGAGAGCACCGGCAGAATAGATGGCACATGGCTGACCTGCAACAAAAAGAGAAGATTCCCGCGGTGGTTCGTCCACCCGGGGGCACTCCGACGATCAAGTCAGTATATCTCTCAAAGATAAATCAAGTGCTAAACTCACAAGCTTGAGTATCAAAAGCATACCTTAGACCCATGGGGGTGCCTCTCTTTTATAGCCAATTCAATCCTAGTCCCAATGGAAGCCTAACTCCAATGGACTCAGAATTACTGCTAATCTTGGACTTCCAATAGGATCAGGATAAGCTCTCTAAGAGTTTCATCTTTACCCAAACTGAAGTCTTCTCCCATTCTAGGACTCTTGCCCCTCATCCGCTTGTCTCGGATTTCGATATTTTCGGAGGTAACCTCGGCCTATCCGAGATGACCTCGGCATAACAACCAGGACACGTGGCACCTCAGCTGACACGTCGGCGTCACCTTGGCCACGTGTTGGTACTCAGAAAATATATCTCCACAAATTGATTCGTTAGTTATTTGATATAGACAAATTTGTTTGAGGTTAGATTTTTAAAAAAAAAAATATGTAATTTTTATTCTAGTTTTCATTCTATTTTTGATAATTTTCATATTATCTTTAATTTAGACTTAATTAGCCAACATTTCCTAACTTATTTCTTATTGTAATTAAGGATTGTTCTTCTATAAGTAATGGTTGAGCCTTAGGGCAAGACAATTAATATATTTTCAATGGTAAATTACATTTACA